TTGGATTCTATATTACGGACTGTCTGGCTGCTCCCACAGGACCATGTTTCATACCTTGAATTGGGCAAATTTACCACCCTAAAAAAAAATCGATGTCCCGTTAGCAAGGATGGAGGGAAGAATGCTGACAGGTTAGATACCAAACAGCTTTTGGCACACCGTATCACATACTGGTATTGGAGGTTCCCAACTAAACAGGCCCTCCAAAATATCTGACGATGAAGCTTATGGTGGGCAAGTGCCACCCAGGTGCTCAGAGTTTCCAATTAGCTTTTTTAGTCCCCGTCTCTTAAGTATGAGAAGACAACCAAAGATTATCAGACATTTGAGGAAAGCTGTATACTCACAAGAAAGATACAAAATCATGCAAACATAAAAAATAGCTTGGAGATAACAGAGGCAATGTAGGGAGAAGAAAAAAGTTTAAAAATTATTGTTAATATTCTCAGAGAGATAAGAGAAGATAGTGTAATAATGAAACAAGAAGAGAACAGTATAAAAGAATGATTTAAGGAATAAAAAAGAACTCTTGGAAACTAAAAATATGATCACAAAAATGATAAACTCAATAGAAAGTTTAGACAATGAAATTGAAAAGCAAAAAATAAAGAAGATGAAAAACGAGAGAAAAGAACATTAGAGTGTCTTTCTAGCAGATCTAACGGCTGAATGTTAGAGATTTCAAAAAAGAGAACTAAGAAAATGGAGGGGATAAATTTGTCAATTAAATAAGTTAAGAAAATTCCCCGGAGCTAAAGGAATAATTTTCAATGTAATTTCATAAGGTACATCATGGTCAAGTTTCAGAACTCGAGACAAGGAGAAGATTCTATAAACTAAGAGAAAGAGAAGGAGTGACAGACACAAAGACAGACCAGGAATCAGAATGGCTTCAGATTTTTGAAAAGTAATACTGGAATCTAGAAGGCAATGGAGCACTGCCTTCAAGGTTTAACCTAGAATTCTGTAGCCAGACAAATTATCAATCAACTGTGAAGGTAGAATAAAGACACTTTAATACTTGCAAGGTGTCATATTTTATCTACTGTGCACCCTTTCCCAGAAGTAACTGGAGGATATGCTCCACCAAAACAAGGAAGAGGAAGAGATAGGTACAGGAAACAGGTGAGGCAGATGAGGCCAAGGGAATTCTCAGGAGTGATGATGAAGAAAGATCCCAGGATGAAAGTTATGCACCAAGGAAGGCGCTAAGGGCAGCTAGTCCAGACTAGAGCATTTCAGAAGGCTCTGGAAGAGGCTTCTTTAAGAAGATGTGAGTGATAGATTATCAGATACATATGAATGTCTCTAGTCAGATCACACTACTGGCACAGAGTTAGAGGTTAAATCAAGCTAGGGAAACAAAATCAAGCCAGGGAGAAAGCCAAAAATGGATTCAGACCTGGGAGATAGTTTGAGCAGGGAGGGAGCTACTAGCATAGGAGAGATACCACCTAATAATAGGAAGGAGATCCCCTTGCTCCCAGAGCCGCGTGGAATGTATGGTCTGACTGGGCATTTGTTGACATTTGATTCCTATATGGCTCATTTCATCCTCACTTCTTAAGAAAGGAGTGGCCTCTGATACATAGGATATTCCAATTATAGTTTTATTATCACTTTCCATTTGGACCAATGCTATCAAGCCCTTAGGTCTTAAGTTTTAAAATTGTGTCCTTTCTGTCTAGGTAGTTCTCCCAAACAGATACAGCTTTTCTAAAATATTGTGACAGCAACTGCGCGGTTTATGTAACATGTGAACATCCGGACAACAACACCTGCTTTGGTGACTCTAGGTAATGGAGTCACTACTGCAATGGTCATTGAAGAAATGCTACTGTAGTCTTTTCCTCACATCTTGCTGGTTTATGTTGGCCTTGAGCTTTTTCTGTGTCTGATTCTCCTGGAGTTGATTTGCTCATTTCCTTGTATCAGGGACTTTGTACTGATAGCTATTTCTCAGTCTCTCCACCTGCAACCATTTTGTTTAGTGCAGAACCGTCAATAACTGCATGGAGATTTGTGGTCCTCTTTAAAAAATTCTCTCTCACTCTCTGTCTCTCCCTCTCCCTCTCTCTTGTGTATTACTCTGAGCTTTCCCACACAGGCGGGATGAATGTTAGGGCCTCCACTTTTGGAAAAGAAAGAGAACAGGTTTCAGGTTAAAAAAGACTGTTTAGTGCATTGTCTTAGTTAGATTGAACTGCTGTAACAAAATACCACAGACTAGGGGGCTTAAACAACAGCCATTTATTTCTCACAGTTCTAGAGGCTGCTGGGAAGTCCAAGATCAAGGTGCCAGCAGATTCGATTCTTGGCGAGAGTTCTCTTCCTGGCATGCAGATGGCTGCCTTCTCACTGTATCCTCACATGATGGAGAGAGGCAGCTCTGGTGTCTCTTCTTAGAAGGGCACTAATCCTGTCATGGGACTCCACCCTCACGACCTCATCTAAACCTAATTACCTCTCAAAGGCATCACCTCCAAATACTATCACATGGGGATTAGGGCTTCCACATATGAATTTGGAGAGGATGCAAACATTCAGTCCATAAGAATGCATAGAAGCATTCCTTTTTTTTCCTTTTTCTTTTTTCCCCCCATGAGCTTTATCAAAAATCCTGGCGGTAGCCACTTGGGCATTTACTGATTGACTATGTCACGTCCACTACTTATAGAGGAGTGCTTTTTAAACTTTAGTATACATACAGTTCACCTGGGGGAATTTTGTTAAAATGCAGATGATTCAGGTTCTGATGTAGAGTTTGAGAGTCTATTTCTAACAATCTCCCAGGCAATGCTGATGTTGCTGGTATAGGGAGCACACTTTGAGTAGTAAGGATATATATAACCACAAATACTCAGAAGGATTTATTTGGGAATTTGGGAGAGAAAAGATGTGGGTTTTGTTTAAAAGTATCGAGCACAATTATGTGCAAATGAACTACTGCTGTCTAATATCTGTTCAGTATAGCTTAATATATTAAAAACCTTATTTGGTCTCAGGTAGTATGTTAGATACTATAGATCTTATACCTGGAAATTACTGGTGTTTCCATTGGCCTAATTCTCTGTAGATAGTAGAGATCTGTCCTTCTGAGATGAGTGAGCAAGGATCATCTCCTTTTGGGAGGTGTAAATGGAGGAGACGGCAGAGATAGCACAGATAGAGACAGAGGATGTGGGGTGGACAGGGACCAACAAAATTACTTGCTAAGAGCTCTCATCTTCAAAATGTCATTGCAAATTAAACTAGTATTTCTCAAATTTTAGGGCCCTTAAGGATCACCTGGAGTACTTGAGGACAAGTGCAGATTACTCTATGCCCTGAGGTTCTGATTCAGTAGGTCAGTCAGGTAGTGGGACAGGGGAGGCAAAAGTTTGTATTTTAAAGATTTTATTATTCTTTTCTTTTTCTCCCCAAAGCCCCCGGTACATAGTTGTGTATTTTTAGTTGTGGGTCCTTCTAGTCATGGCATGTGGGATGCCGTCTCAGCATGGCTTGATGAGTGGTGCCACGTCCGCACCCAGAATCCTAACTGGCGAAACCCTGGGCCGCCAAAGCGGAGCACGCAAACAACCACTCGGCCACAGGGCCGGCCCCTACAAGTTTGTATTTTAAACAGGCACCTCAGGTGAATCCAAGGCACTTGGGTCCCTGGACCATTAGTGTGAGAGACATTGCATTAGAGAGAGTGGTAGTAGTCTCTGGAGAAAGAAAAACAAAACACTAACAAAACTGGGCAAATATTTCTATCTATTTTGATTGGTGTCTTTGGGAGTTACTGTAAAAGAGAAACAAAGACATCCTGCTGCTCAGGAGACAGGGCTATCAGACATCTAACTGTCAATTAAGCAGGCTCAAACCCTGTGGCAGTTCTCTGAAGCAGGATGAAGGGCCATAATTCACAGGAACATGGAATTTAGAACTGATAGGAATTTTAGAGGCTTTCCAGCTTTTTTGGCTGTGACCCATAGCAACAGATACATTTTATATTGTGTTCCAGGAAACACACACATGCACAGATACACTCACACAACTCATATGCATATATTTATTTACTTCATCAAGCAATACTCTTACAACTTATGATGTACTCTGATATATTTTTTGTTATATTTAGATTTTTAAAAATTCTGGTCATCACCCATTAAATTGATTGTATGCCTACTGTGTTATAACTTGCCACTTGAGAAAACATCAATCTAGCGCAGTCACTTTATTTTACAAATGAGAAACAAGCTTGGAGAGGTAAAATTTGTCCAACACCACACAGCTATAAATAGTAGAACTCCAAGCTAGAGCTCAGATCTCAGATTTCTAATCCAATGATCTGTCCACCATGGCCTACTGTATATGTAAGAGTTTTATTGCTCTTAGCCTGTTTTCTCTCAGGACCAGATGGTCTATTTATATCTACCAGATTGCCAATCTAGTTGAAACATTTTGAAGTGTACAATGTCTTTTCCCTAAATGAACCACTAGATGGTAGTGTGAACTCTTCTGATGGTGGACTATTCAGCTGAGCCAAGGTGAATTCAGTTTTGTATGTTTCCACCCTTATCTTATAAGGCTTTATAGGTTGGTATTTCTCTGTAGATAAGCTAAGCTTTATGCCCATCCTAAGGAAACTATTTTACATGATTTTACAAGCAGGATGCATTTTGTTATTTGGCATTTCTGTTTTTCATCTGTGTGGAAGAGAGCTTTAGAAAAACAAACACACGTGTATTTCCAGTATCCCCCAAAGGACCCTCTTGTTTTGTAGTCAATATATTTTTATTTTCCATGTTTTTATTTTATAGGACTTGAAATAATCATTTTCTGTTGTTTCTTTAATTCCAGGTTGAAAACTAAATTTCTCTTAGTGTGGGGAATCTATGTGGGCCCTTTCGGGTTTGAAATAAGTGAACAAAACCCCCAAACAACTTTATATTTACCATCTCCTAAGAAAGAAAGTGAATATTCTGCTTTATAAGAGTTTTTCCCTTTACTTGCAGCAAGGCTGGCAGAATGATCTACGCATGTAATAGGAGCTTCTGAGGAAGGTGAGCATGAAGACAATGCTATTTGTTGGGGTTTCAGGGTTAAACAGGCTGAGCAGTTGAGTCCTTCCTCAACCACACCTTCTTCACAGCTTAAGCTGGAAGAAAAAGAGTGAATCAGATGGCCATCCTTTGACGCTTATTCTTTCTATCCCTCTTTCTGGCCTCCTACACAAGTTCTCCTTTAAAAAAAATGAATTCAAGGATGGAGGAAAGGATAAGAAGTATGATGGTTAATTTTATATGTTAACTTGGCTGAGCCATGGTGCCCAGGTGTTTGATCTAACATTATTCTGGATGTTTTCATGAGAGTATTTTTTGGAAGAGATTAACATTTAAATTGGTGGACTTTGAGTAAAGCAATTGCCCTCCATAATGTGGGTGGGCGGGTCTTATCTGATCAGTTGAACATCTTAATGGAACAAAGACTGACCTTTCTCCCCCATCCTCCCCTAAATAAGAAGGAATTCTGACAGCAGACTGCCTTTGGACTCAAACTGCAATGCTTTCCTGAGTCTCTAGCATGCTGGCCTACTCATTGGATTTTGGACTTGCCAAGCCTCCACAATCACATGGGCCAGTTCCTTAAAATAAATCTTTCTCCTCTCTCTGTATACATACATACATGCATACATATATATATATTCATCCTCCTATTGGTGTTTTTTCTCTGGAGAACTTTCACTAATACAAGAAGTAAAGGGATAGGTAAGATAGGGGACTTCAGAATGATTAACCCAGCTTACCAATTAAAAACTCAAAGCATACGGAAAGACTATTAGAACACTGCTATTCTTTCCTTTGTTTCTCTCCCCCAACTTCTTCTTCTTTGAAGCCTTGAAAAATGCAGGGACTTATTCTGTTTTCTGCATCATTGTATCCTCAGTGCTTACCACAACTTTTGCCACATGCTAGACTCTTGGTAATTATTTGTTGGTTGAATGAATGGTTAGGAGTCTTAACTGTGCAACATGGGGAAGGACTGAATGCTCAATGTCACAGGAGCATGAAAATATACCACAAGTTTGGGGAATGATAAATAGCGCAGAGTTGAAGATGTTTGTGGGATAGGACGGCTAGAAATAAATCTGAAAGTGTAGACTGCTCAGAATTGGGACTTTATCCTTGTGAGCAACAGGGAGTCATGAGGCAATTTTAAGGAAAGATCATATCAATGTTTGCTCCTCAGAATTCTGATTCCCAGGATTTTCTAAAGTAATAGCAAAGCTCAAAGGCTTTTATTTTTACTTTTACTGCAGTTTAGATTGTGTTAAATCCAAATGTATTCCCTTGCCTCTGCCTGTTTTGTCTCCCTAGTTAACTTTTTGTCCACTGACACAAATTGATAAAAACAACATGGGTCTTGAATTGATGTTGAATCCTGGGTTTATTGCTTAGAGGCCTTATGTCTTGAGCAACTGCTTTTCTTCTCAGCAGCATGGTTTCTTCATCTTTAAATATTGGCATAATCCAATGTTGAAATGTTGAAAGAATTTCCTTTAAGATCAGGAACAAGAACAGAGAGTCTATTATCTGCTTTCTTTCAACATTGTATTGAAGGTTCTAGCCAGTGTGATATGGCAAGAAAAAAAGAATAAAATGTATAAAGATTGGAAAATTAGTCAATAGGTAAATTATTAGAATTAATAAGAAAGTTTAGCAAGCCTATTGGTGCATTATAAATGTACTAAAAAGTCCTTATATTTTTATACAATAGCAACAGAAAGTGTAATTCAATAAAATTTATAATAGCATTAAGATATATTAAGTTCTAGGGAGAAACTTGTGTTCAAGTACTTTATGGCATAAATTACAAAACTTTATTGAAAGACATTAGAGAAGACCTAAATAGAGAAATATACCATGTTAATGGAGTAGAAGACATATTATTGTAAAGATTTTACTTATTTGAAGTTATCTACAGATTTGATGCAATTCCAATCAAAATTCCAATTTTTATATTTAAACACAATGAGCCAATTCTAGAATTCATGTGGTAATGCAAAGGACTAAGAACAGATAAGGCATTTCTGAACAAGTATCAGATTGGTGGACTTGCTTTACCAGAATACTAGATGTCAATATTTACAAAGCTATTAGTTCAAAGATGACAAATAGACTAATGGAACAGAATAGACAGTTAAGAAATAGATCCAGATATATATGGAAACTTAAAGCAAATCAGTGAGGGAAAGAATAACTTTTTGAATAAATGATACTGGAAAAATTGATTATCCATATGGTAAAAATAAATTCTACTTGCATTAAGATTTAAACATGAAAATCAAAATTATGCAATTGTTAGAAGCAATATAGAAAAATATCTTAATGATTTGGAGTAGGGAAGGATTTCTTAAATAAGATACAAAAAGCATAAGCCATAAAGGAAAAGATTTATAACTTCAGGTATATTAAAATTAAGAATTTCTGGTTACCAAAAGACAGCACAAAGAGTGAAAATACAAGGCACAAACTGGGAGAAGACATTTGCAACTGATAAAACTGATAAAAGGTCAGTATCCAGGATCTATACATAACTTCTACACATCAGTTAGAAAAAAAATCCATAGAAAAATGGGCAAAAACTTGAGCAGACATTTCACAGAAAAAGAAAGCTGAAAAGCCAATTTACCTACTGAAAAATGTTCTGCATCATTAGTAGTTAAGGAAATGTAAATGAAAATCATAACATAATACCACGTTCTCCACCCACCAGACTGGAAAAAATAAAAACACTCTAACAATAAATAGTGTCGGTGAGACTATGAAGCAAGAGGAACACATATACTGTGGGTGGGAATGTAAACTGATATAACTGCTTTGGAATAAAAAAATTATAAAAATACCCCATGATTCGTTAGTCCCACTTGAGAGAAATTCTTGCATATTTGCACTGGGAGGCATGTGAAGGCAGTATAGGAAGGTTCATAGCAGTGAGGTTGTGACAGAAAAACACAGAAAACAACTCAAATGTCCCTTGAAAGCTGTCAGCCTCACTGTTCATGAACAAGGAGGACGGATGGTGTGACTCTCCCGAGTGTTGCATAGTCCATGAACAGTGCCTGCCATACCGTGACAAGAAGATTCTGAGGAACTCTATTTCTTAAACCTGAGAAAAGTTAACGTGGTCCATTATGTTCTCTCTTTTTTCCTTTCACTTTAAAAATAATTTACAGGTCTTTAGGGATAAAGACTATGATGTCAACAATTGGCTATAAGAGAGGAATAATTTGCTGAATTGAACCTCGGCATTCTGGAAAGTCTAGAGTGGGTATAGTATATAAGAAAAGACTTTAAAAAACAATTTCAAGACCAATCTTGAAATCAATTTGTCAGTCTCTAACTTGCACAGCTACTTGTATTAATTTTGAAGCTGATTTACACCCTTACAAAATGAGACCACAAAGGCCATGCAGAGGGTGTGGTCAGTTGTTTTTACAATAGTAACAAGCTGAATGCCTGAGCAGACTGCTTTTCCTCATAAGTAAGCCTAGTTGAGTAACTAATGATACAGCAGCTGATGTAGGAGTTGCTCATTCCCCATCCATCAAATCCTAAGGGTTTTCTAGCAAAGGCAGTAGTCCCAGGGCGAATGTTTCTCTCAGTAGCTCACGGTTACCAGCATATTTAACAGTGACGTAAGAAAGCCTAATTTTGCCAGCATCATTGGAATATTTGAATCTTGCCCATCTTTCCTCATCTATCACTCATGTAGGAACTATTTTTTTCCCCCCAAGATAAAGAAGGAAAAGAAACGCTGTGGGGAAGAGAGATACGTTGTGGGGCACAGGGGTGCGGAGAGAGTTGTATTTCATATCTTAGGGAAAGAAAATACCACTGACATTTTAGGTTGTCATGTTATCCAAAACAATAACCCCAAGAAAACAGTATAAGATTGAAAGGGGTCAGACACACTTGGCTTCCAGTCCTGGCTCCGTCACTTACTAACTGACTGTGATGCTATATAGCATTGAGAAAGCTGCTTAATCTTTCTAAGGCTTGGTTTCCTCATTTGTAAACTAGAGAGAGTACTAGAGCCACTTTGCAGGATTGTTATGAGAATATGATAATGCATGTAAAGCATGTAGCCTAGCACATGGTAGGTGCACAATAAACCTTATGCGGGGGAACCCTGGGTCCTGAGCTCAGTGATCCATTTCGTTTGTCAAAAGTTGCTCTGAAAATGTTTTTATAACAGAGTCTTTACAAAGAGTCCCCATACCACCAAGTTTATGCTAGAATTTAAGCTGTAACTTTGTGGTTACTAGCTCTGGAAGGTGCAATTGTGAAATTGGTCTCTCACTGAAAGTGGGATTAGGTAACAGCAAAACAATTATGGTGCAGATTTTATCTCTGGGAATAATGCCTCTGAGCTCCACAGCCCTATATACATAGGGACTTGTTTGACATCTGCCTGTAGATGTGTCAGGCATCTCACACTCAACTTATCCAAAATGGAGCACTTGCTTGTCTATCCATGAATCTGTCCCTTTTCAGGTTTCCCCATGTCAGCAAACACTGCTTTTGTGCATCCAACTGCTCAAGCCAGAAACCTGAGTTATTCCCATATCCCTTCATCCCTCACTTCTTAATCCCGTTCATCCCCAAGCACCATTTAAAACTCCACTAAATATATCTTCAATCAGTTTACTCACCCCCATCTCTACAGCCACCTCTCTAAATCCAAATCATCATTTTTTAAAACATGGATTACTGCAACAGCTCTCCAACTTAGTGTTTCTACTTCTACTCTTAGTCCCCCTCCAATCCATTGGATTTGTCACCTTGCTGCTCCAAAGCTTTGGTGGATTCCCTTTGCACATAGGATAAATCCAAAATCCCTAAAATGACTTATAAAGCTCTGAATGATACGTCCCATGCCTAGATTTTCTATTTATCCATGACTATTCCCTCCCTTATGCACTCCAGTAGATTAAGATGGGAACTCAGTTTTCCCAGTGTCAGAATTTTGCATCAGTAATGTGGTATGCTTGAAAAGATGTTACCAAGGTCTCAAGCATTAATGAGGTCTTTATAGCTGTTTGAGAGCAGAATGACATAGGACCAAGAATGTTGAGATTTGACATATTCTCTGAAAGAGGTACTTGGACAAAATTTTGTGATAATCTTGGAATGAGGCTCCAAATAAGAACAGACTAAAGTTAACTTGTCCTAGTTATAGATTACTGTGAGTTCCAGCAGGAAGATAAAAAACAAGTGGAACTCATGCCCTTGTGGTACTACACCCTTAATGGGAGCTATGTCATGCATACATACAATGCTAGGCAGGATACAATCAACTTTATCACCACAATGAGCTAGAGTCATCCATAAAGGCTTGAAAAGATCATGGAGAGAGCTGGATTTTGAAGGAAGCATAGGAATGACATTGATGGAAAAGGAGCAAGAAGATATTTCAAGTGTGTGAAAAAATACACTGGTAGGAATGACTGTTCCAGGTAGAGGAACAGTGAGGAAGCTACGAGAAAGAGGCATCATGATATAAAGAGAGAAGAATCAAATAGAAGTTTCAAAGTAAGGAGACTGGTGCTCCAGGTTCATCTCTGCCTCTAGCCAGCTAAGCAAGAATCTTGGCTTCTTTAGTATGTTTCCTCACATTTAGTAATGTTGACCTTAAACAAATAGATAGCCAGTTATTTCTCCAGCAAAAATAGGCTTATTTGGGATGAGCAAAGAATTGAAATCAGAGGTCTCCAACCACGCAAGCCATGTGCAAATCCCCAACAGCAAGGGGAGGAGAAACTCTTTTATAGAGGGGAAGAGGAAGTTGGGAAGGCTGTTGTAAATAAGCAGTCCATTGGAGCAGACTAGGAATTTGAAGTGTAGTGACTTTTCATTGGCTGAGTTGTGACAGTCTCTCATTGACTGACCTTTTGCCAGTCAAGAAGAGGAAGTCTTGAGGGTCAGCCCAGTGGTCCAGTTATTAAGTTCAGCATGCTCTGCTTCTGCAGCCTGGGTTCAGTTCCAGGTGCAGACCTACACCACTTGTCAGCAGCCATGCTGTGGCAGTGACCCACAAACACCAGAGGAAGACTGGCAACAAATCTTAGCTCAGGGTGAATCTTCCTCAAGCAAAAAGAGGAAGATTAGCAATAGATGTTAGCTCAGGGCAAATTTTCCTCAGGAAAAAAAAAGAAGAGGAAGTCTTTCTTTTTCCTGTTGGGCTCTGCTGTGGATGTAGGGCATGAGAGCTCCCCCTTTTGGCCTCTTGACTCCATTTTAATGTGGTTTCTGCGTATTAATTTCAATACTATACTCCTGTAATAATGAAATGTCATTAGGAAACATGGTATGCTTATTATGCTTATGGTACTTTTCTTTTTTTCAAGTAGAAGCCTTAAATTTTATGTAATCTGAGCATTTGTTCTTTTGTTTTATGATTTCTTAAAAAGATTTTAAGTGTAGGAAGTCATCCTTGGTTTTAAATTCACAGATCTAATACCTTGTTTGAGTGGGCATTTGAAAAAGGATGTTTTAAAAATATTTAACTTTTTAATGTATCCGGGATTTATTTTGTTATACACTATGAGGAATGGGTCTAAATTAATTTTATTTCCCTTAAATTCCTACCCAGTTATTCCTGCACAAGTTAATGAATAGTTCTTCCTTTCTGGTGATGTTACTTTTATTTTTCAGCAGTCTTTTATGGAATAAAATAAATTTCTGGATTATCTAGTCTGTGTTCTCTATCTATATATTTTTTCTTCTCCCAGTAGTATCTTATTTTATTTATCATAGCCTTACAATATATTTAAATATCTAGCAGGGCTAGTCCCATCTCATATTCTTCATTCAAAATTTTCTTTGATAAACTTGTCTATTTTTTCTTCCTGAGAACATTAGAATCTAGTCAGATTCTCTGAAATTTTCATAGAATGTTAATTGGATTTTGTGTCAATGATTTTGGGGATTGTAATGACTTTATGTATAATTCATTTATGTATGAATTTATGCACATTTTCAATAAACTTTGGATGTTTGTGACTATAGAGTACAGATAAGACTAGAGTCAATGAATTGGTCTAAAATGATAACAAAGATATTTTATCTAAGTGGCCTTTGTCATTTGATCAATTTAGGTGTACAGAATAGCCAAATTGAATTTAATTCCCTTTCGTTTTTGTACCTAAATGTCTGGTCGAGATATAATCCAGCAATCAAAGATCCAGTGACTAGCCTCAGGGAGCAGAATAGAAACAATGATAAATATTGTCAGTGAATAGATTTAGAAGCTCTTGAAGGGTAATTCCCATTTCAATTTTTATTTTAACTTAATTCCTTAGTATTTCAAATGGAAACCCATGATCTCTTTCTGCAAGGATCTTCATTTTGAAAGTCTATAATTTCACTTCCTTTGTCTTCCTCATGCTGGTGGGATCTGTACACCCAATTGCCCGGGCCCTGGCTAATTCTTGGTACTTTTATCTCTCTCTTACTTACTTTCTCTCTGTCTATCTTAACTTTCTCTCTCCTGACAGCAGAAAGTAGTAATCAGACAGGTTGAGTGATTCAATGGAAATTTAATCTGATCTCATTTTAGCCACGTGTAAGAAGCAACCTGCTGTGAACTAGAATTGTGATGCTGGGAGTGATCTGATTCCTGCAGGCCCCTCTCCCTTCTCAGCTCTGGTGAGTGACTGATAAAGGAATTTAAAGCGTGTAAAACATAGTATACACTGATTTGTTAACTTAGTCATTGAACTGGACATCTTGTCTTCTTGTAGGTAAAGTTAGAGTGTCAGAGATTGTAGATTTTATTTATAAGGACAAAGCATTTAAGTATATTCATTGAAGTTGCTTCTTGATGCAGTAATCTCTTATTTTCCTTTAAACTAGACTTCCAGTTTTGAACCCAGATGTAAAAGCAAAACAAAACAAAATAACAACTAAAACAGAGGAATCTCGGTCAATAGATCACTGTAGCTGTAAAGATGATGACCTGAAGAATAGGGTTGACATGATGTTATTGGTCAGTTCACTGATCTGAAGGAAAGGAATCCTCTATTTATGGCTGGCTAAAGAAGGCCAGTTACAATGCAGAAAAGCTTAGAAATTGTAGCAGAAAGTAAAGAAACAAACAGAAGAGAGAAAAACTGGACATAAGAAGAGTGTAAGGAACAGAAGGAACAGCAACCTTCAGAGTTGGTGTTGCCAATGTTGAAGAAGGTTATGGTGACCACTGTCACATTGTTGGCCCCCAATGATCCATATCTCCCAGTAGTTCCCCTTGTGTGGTCCTCTCTCTTTGAACCTGAGTTGGGAGTGTGACTTATTTTAAGTAACCGGAAGTGGCAGAGTGATGCTGTATCTGTTCTTCATCTAAGCCTTAATAAGTTCTGCTTTTGTGTTCTTAGGAGCCCTCCTCTGCCTTATAAGAACTTTTGGGGCTGGCCTGGTGGAATAGTGGTTAAGTTTGTGTGTTCTACTGCTGTGGCTCTGGGTTCGCCAGTTTGGATCCTGGGCATGGACCTACATACCGCTCTCAAGCCATGCTGTGGCAGCATCCCACATAGGAGAACTAGAAGGACTTACAACTAGGATATGCAACTGTACTGGGGCTTTGGGGAGAAAAACAAGAGGAAGATTGGCAACAGATGCTCAGGGCCAATCTTTGTCACCAAAAAAAAAAAAGCATAAAAAAATTTTGTTATCCTGCTACAGCTACATGGAGAGGCCATACGAGAAGCCATATAAGAAGGAGAGGCCCTGAGAGAAAAGCCTAGCTAGAGGAATTTAAGGCCAGACCCCTGCTGACCTACTAGCTGGGTGAATCCACATGAGTGACCATTGGCAAGATCAACAGAAGAGTCACCCAGCTAAGACCGGATTGCAGAATTGTAAGCAAATAAAATGTTTATTGTTTTAAGCCACTAAGTTTCAGGGTAGTTTGTTATACAGCAAAAGACAGCTGCTGGTGTGATAATGGAGAAGAGTCAGAGATCAAGACCCAGTCTCGCAGGCCTGGGACCAAAGCAAGCTTGTTCAAGTCTTTTGTCACTTTTTAGCTCTGTGGGTTTGGGCAAGGTATTTAATCTCTCTGGGGGCTCAGTCTTATCTGTAAAATGAGAAAAAATATTTCTTCCCTCAAAGGATAGTTAGGAAATGAAATGAGTGGAAGTTTGGGGCACATATTAAGCACCCACAAACATTAGTTCTGTTTCATTTCCTCCCTGTGGTTCCCTCACCTCCTGAGGGGATGAAAGTGGTCCAAACTGCAGTAACTCTTAAGGGCAGTCCTGTGACCTGCTAAAGGCAGCTCTGTCATAGGTCAGTTTTGCACTGTGTGTATGTGATAAACATTCATTGTGTTTATATGAAAAAGAGGTAAACTACTAAAATATAAGTGATGGATTTTTTTGACTGATGGCAGGTTCAGAGGCCACTTCTGGAGTCAATGCACATTTGTGTTTGTGTCCCGGACTGTCTACACCTGCTCCTCTGGAGGACCACAATTGTTTATCAGACTAAGCTTGGGTCATCAAGGAACCTTAAGTTACACTCAGCTTATTTTATTGCAGAAGGCATGAAGGCATAGGCTATTTCCATTGGGTTTCCACAAAAAAGCATTATCATTTCACTTGTTTGTAAAGTTCACTTAGGCAAAAATTGCACATTTCAAGGCAGTGCTGGATAAAATTTGATGCTTGTTTAGGCCTTGCTCTCAATTTGGAAGGTGATTTAGGGCCCTGCAAAGAAAGAAGCCCCATATCAGATGTCCAAATTATGTTAAAACTGTGCAGTCACCAAGTTCCCAAGCCTTCTGAGAGAACACACACACACACACAGACCTGAAAGGAAGGATTAAGGAGAAAAGAAATAAACCTGCCCTGCCTCACTTTCCAAATTGTAAAGTGAGAAAGCCAGACCGGAAGATTCTCCAAGGTTACTTCCAGCTCTGAGCGTAGCAGACCTCAGATCCTGTGCCTGTATTAGCCCATCTTGGGCAGTGAGATTAAAAACACAGTGTGCTCTCCAGCAAAACTTTAATTACAGAGATTTAATTAGAAAAAGAACCAAAATACTCTTTCAGATTATTTTTTAAAATTTTATTTTTAATTGTTTTAATTGTTTCCATTTTATTTTAAAAGAGAAACGAAAGCCACAATTTGCCAAATTTCTGCACATTTCCTTGCCATACAACTGTTCTAGCAAGTTAACCTAAAAAAATTTTCTAAAATGAATTTTTGATGAGAAACTCAGATCCCTGTAATTTGTCTTAGACATTTTTTTCCTTCAGACCTCTTGTGGGGCTCCAGGGTTTCCATACCTCAATGTCAAGAGCAGGGCAAAGGAATTCGGCTCAGTTTAGTAATTACCTTGTGTTAATTTAGCTCAAAGTTATTTTTCTCTTAATGGCTTAGGAGAGCCATTCAAATGCTTTGATTCTTATAATCAAAGTTCCAGTGGGGAGGGTAGGTGAATGGCCATGTAATGTTTAGCCTATTAAAATGGCCATATCCAAAGCTTATGCAGAGTGAATTCTTACCAGGGACTGTGAATAAGGGGAGGTCATTGTGGAAGAAAGCATGAGAAAGTAGGAGAGTTAGAATAAGTCTGGAAGTGTCTTTCCTTTCTCCCAATTCAGTTCCACAATTTTAGTGGACAGTTGTTTTTGTCCTCTCTCATGGCAAGAGGGAAAGATCTCCCCAAAGTCTCCCTGAGTGCTTCCAGAATGCTGATTTGCCGCCAGGCTTCACAGTGGAGCAAGTACATTAGACCGTAGTTCCTCAAAGTATGTGTGGTGAAGGACCAGTTTGCTTTCTCTCCCACATCCCCATCCACTGTGAACTGATATTTGTGTAAAATACAATATAAATGATCACCGGAAAAATGACACGCAGAATAAAGACATACAAAATACAAGCCTCAATTTTTTATTAGATTTAATTAGTCTTGTCAAGTGCAATAAAATTTTCTAACCATCCTTAATTTCTATGCTTATCTTGTTGCAGATGGTAACAAAAATGTGGGAACAGGCACTGGTCCGTGGACCACACTTTGAGTAGAACTGACTTAGATTAGGCCAATAGTATTCTCTGGTTCCCAGTAATTATTTCAGGAGTGTTCTTATGACCTGAGCTGGTCCCATTCACTTGAATGTTGGGACTTTAATTGGGAAGACTGGGACAACAATTCTTTGTTTTTCCTGGCTCTTAACCAGCTTCTCTTTTGTCAGTCATCTTTCCAAAACATAGATCTGGATATGCCATTCTTCTGTTTATGAAAACCTTAGCTTCCCACTGCCATCAGCACAAGTTCAAGCTTCTTAAACTGTCATTCACAGTCTTTCACAATCGAGCCTTCTTCTACTTTTTCAGTCTAATTTTTTGCTACTCTCATTCTCAGGCACATACCCTATGCCTTAGTGTGACCAGATATGTACTTTCATAGATGTTACAGGCTTGCTCATGTTCCCTCTGGCTGGATTGCACTTCCTCTTCCCACACCCCTTTCTGACTTTCTAAGAATAGAACCTTGAGAACATAAGGTGTTCATTATTTTTAAATGGTAAGCATTATGCATTACCTCATTCCTACTGATTCAAGTGCTAATTTTGAGAGTGTTGGCAGCAGGATGAATTGATGCACCCAGATATTTGATAAACACTGCATTTAGACCCCAAAGATCTCATTTCATAGGGAGTCTAACATGGTTAATGAACAAAATATCAGAAAGCACCAAGCTTAGACAGGGTGTGACTTTAAGTTATTGCAAAAATGAATAAGCAAGAAAGAAGAACATACATCTAGACCAAAACATGCACACAAATATTCATAGCAGCTTTATTTATAATAGCCAAAAAGTGGAAACAGTCCAAATGTTCATCAACTGATCAATGTATAAACGAAATGTGGTATATCCATCCAATGGGATATTACTGGCCATAAAAAGAAGTGAAGTGCTCATACATGCTACAACATGGACAAACCTTGAAAACATTATGCTAAGTGAAAGAAGCCCGATACAAAAGGCCACATACTGTAAGATCGCATTTATATAAAATGTCTGGAATTGACAAGTCTATAGAGAAAGTAGACGAGTGGCAACCTAGGGCTGGGGGGAATAAGAAGATTGAAGGATGAAGGCTAAGGGGAATAGAGTTTCTTTTTAGAGTGATGAAAATGTTCTAAAATTGTGGTGATAGCTGCACAACATTGTGACTATACTAAAAGCTCTTGAATTGTACATTTTTAATGGGTGAATTGTATTGTATGTTAATTATGTCTCAATAAAGCGGTTTTTAAAAAAGGAACATTTATAGGAGCTTTATTCATAGTTGCCAAGACTGAGAAACAAACAAGATGTCCAAGGTGAATGGATAAAGCAGCTATTGTGGATCCAGACAATGGAATATTATTCAGCGCTAATGTGAAATGAGCTATTAAGGCATGAAAAAGACACGGTGGAACCTTAAATGCATATTACTAAATGAAAGAGGCCAATCTGAAAAAGTTACATAGTACGATTCCAACTATGTGAGTGACATTCTGGAAAAGGGAAAACTCTGGAGACGGTAAAAAATATTAGTGGTTGCCAGGGGTTAGTGGGGAGGATGGGATACATAGGTAGAGCCCAGAGTATTTTTAGGGTAGAGAAACTACTCTGTGTGATACTACAGTGATGGATACATGTCATCACACATTTGTCCAAACTCAGAATTTAGCACACCAAGAGTGAACTCTAATGTAAACTATGGACTTTGAGCGATAACAATGTGTCAATATAGGTCAATCTATTGTAACAAATGTCCCACTCTGGTGCTGGATGTTGATAGTGGGAGAGGTTGGGTGTTTGTGTGTGGGGGTCATAGAGGAACTCTGTATTTTCTGTTCAGTTTTGCTGTGAACCTAAAACTGCTCTAAAAAATAAAGTCTAAAGAAGGAAAAAGAAGAGAAGGAGAAGGAAGGGGAAGAGGAGAAGGGGACAACAACCTCACAAGGCCCATCTCGCTTTGCACCAACTCTGAAGTTTTCTCTGACACCTCTCTTCCCTCCCTCCAGGCAAGAGAATTAATTGCTCCTTTATCTGTGTTTTCACTGTGTTCATTTTCTTACTTCTTTTACAGTTCCTGTCCCTTGATTAGAGTTGTTTGCATGTCTCACTTACGAACTGTGACCTGCCCGAGGGCAGAGGCAATGTCTTATTTTGTTGATATTTCTACTAGAAATGCTACAGGGTAGAGTTCAATAAAAGTTTGTTGTGTGAACGAATGAAGGGCATCGTGCACCTGTTTTAAATGCCATTTTCAAGGATTTTGTCCCAGAATCTGCTCTCCTTCAGGCCTTTGGTGTCCTGAAAACAGCTGCCTCCATGTGGCTCATCCCAGGGACAGTGGTCAGGATGTGAGAGGACTGTCCCTAGAAAATTGAGAGCGCATGAGAATCCTGAACTAATGACTTATCTCTATTGACTCTCCTCCAATAGCAGCATATTATTCTAGTCGAGCTTTTGGAAAATACTCCTTGGAGACATTATAACCAAGTGCAGTCTGAAATCTGGGACCAGACTTCTGTGTGGTGACGTTGGTCAATTGGGAAGATGTCATGAAGCTGTGAGGAGAAGATCTCACTCTACCAACAAGCCATCTCTGCCACCTCTGGATGGCTACCTGAAATGTTCTGGTGAGAGCTCGTTACAAGGCTTAGGGGTGAGAGAGATGTAAAATGTGTGAGGTGTATTCCTGCGAGGGATGACATTTTAAACTGTTATTATTCATATATACCTGACTGAGAGTCGTATGTAATATAGTTCTTGAAAGCAAGTTTTAAGAGGGCAATAGAGAAAACCTATAAAGACACTGGTGCTGAGAGGGAAAAGGAAAAGGTACCTAAGCAGTGACAGAATAACAAAAATGCTTTTCTTTACTTTGCACAT